TCTAAACGCCACTCAAAAGCGCATATTCACTTCGAAGCCAGCCTTCATCAACCATAGGCTCACCAACAAGAGAAGAAACCTCGGCGACTGCACCAACTACATCTAACCGCAATAAAAAATCAGGGGTTACCTCCAATGCCTAAGAAAGCCGCTACGAAGAGTCAGATTCAACCAGAGGAAGAGACAGGACCGGAGCTGGGAAGCAGTGAGTCGTTTCGGTTGAGTATGAACGGTTCGGAGCAGCATTCATCGAGGTTTGGGGAATCTCCATCGATAAACACATCGTCAAGGTTATCTTCATGGTCATGGTTCGACAGTGGAGGCCATGGTCCGCAAACTATACAGCCAACGGCTTGGGGGATGGTGATTGTGACGGCTACAGTTCATGGTGAGATCCGATCTTATCAAAATTTTGGTTTACCGAGAAGAATCGGTCGCCAAACTACTCTGTTTTGATTTAAAAAAGGAATGAACCTGTGTTTTATTGTTCTTGATTTGTATCATTGTTGCTTTTAGAGTACGTAAAGTTCCTTCCTATACAGATTCAACCGTCTTATAGTCTTGAGAAACCTCTCTCGACGTTCAAAATATTGAGTTGTATTGTATCAACGCAAAGAAAAATTTGTGTTTTTTTTTTTGGTAAACATGTGAAGAAATTTGTGTAGTTCTCCAAATAGAAATCACAAACAATTTGCTCCATTTTTTTTCCTGTGTTTTTTTCTCTAAATCTCTTAGCTAACAATTAGATATACAGAAGAAAAAAAAAATTTGAATGTTTTGTAAACTACAAGTATGTAAATAAATCTACAAGCAAGAACACAAAGCTATAACGTGGAAAAACTAATGATGACCGCCACCCAGGCCCGGCGCATAACACAATCAAGTGAAGTCATGGTTTAGAACATCAAATTAAATGGGCATATTGTCTAAAATTTCTTTTAGGTCTTTTATATTAAAAAAAAGAATTATAAGTTTTTATCTATAATCAAATTTGTTGGACTTTCTTTTCATTATATTTTGTGGGTTTATGTCTTAAAATTAATAAAATATTAACTAATGTGTTGTTAATGAATTACATGGTGGAGAAGCTAGGAATCAACAAGAGTAAGATTCTGTAGTTGTCTAATTCACTTTACAAGAATTACGGAACTACCCCATGGCCAGCCTTCGAGTGAAAATTTACTTTTCTCTTTTACTCGAATTAATCCATAGATTAATACTTCATCAATTTTAATCACAGGTATATATACAAAATCTCTTCGAATAGTATGACAAATCATAGGATGCTTCTGAAATTGGTCTTATATTTTTTTTTTACAGTTTCGTACATGCATGGGAGATTACCTTATGAGAACATCAAACCAGATCCCATTTTGTGAAGTCTCTTACTTAGCTTGCCTCTACGCAAGATCGTAATGATTCTTCTCAGTCTAATAATTAATTTCTACAAAAAATTCATCAAAAGTATTTGAGGACTGCTTTGAATCATTGAATTCTACTAATCGTTAGAACGTTAACGATTTATAAGAATGAGATATTCGACATCATCAACGGATACTTATCCGATTATGAACAGCCAGATTCTGATTTTCCTAAGACACCTATTGTCTGCAACCCATCAGAATTCAGAACCGCCATAGTAAAGGCTCTTCATATAGCCAACATCGACCCTCAAAGAACCGTAAGTGTCACAAAAATATGGAAATCTTTTGGACTCATAAATCATTTGTTTGTTTTGATCTCATAAAATTAACCGTTTCATTGTCTTGTAGATGTTCTTTGACGACAGTGTTCGAAACATAAACGCATTGCTCTGAAAACCGTCCTGGTGAGGTTTTTTAAGAAAACGTTTATTCCCCTAATGTATAGAGTGAAGATTAATTGTGTTTATAGTTTTGTGTAGGTGGGGACTTTACAGAGAGTGAAAATGTGCAGATTATATGCTAGCTTTAGAGAACATTCATATATAACCTGAAGGAGGCTTTGCCGGAGCTCTGGGAATCGGAGGCTAAGCCGGAAAAAGTTAGCTACTCCGGCAAGCTTGCCATTGAAACTCCGGTGACAGCCTAATTAACTCACCTTGGTTATTTGAAAGATTCCTGCAGAGAATTGTTTTAGTTTTCTTTTTTAATAAAACTATGCTTTGTTGTTCCATTTGTATATACCTTTTCCTCCTGTTTTATATGTATGAGTAAATTAATAAATAAAATAATCTCATATGAAATCCTAAATATAAAAATCAATCCGAATATAGATGTATACATTGATTGACTACTCTAGTATCTTACCGAGAGATA